TTATTAGAAATTACCATCTACTTTACTATTTGGAATTACTGTTTCACACATTGTAAAGATTTGGCATCTTAAGGATTCTACTGAGTCTTTACTGAATCTCTTGAAAACCAATCATATTTGTTTGATTTCATTAAGAGAAAGCACTTTTTGATGTGCTTTGTTCAGAAATTCAAGGCCTGGCTGAGATTAGCTGTCACCCACCAAATCCTCCTCTCTCTGCCACAGGAACAGAGCTGTGGCAGGGGTCCTGGGGGCACAGATGGACTATATTGTACCCAGGTGTGTCTCTGCAACTGTCTTCACCAATGGAATATAGGAAAATGGATTTGTGTGACATCTACATCTGAGACCTGGACTCCTTTACTCTCTCTTCCTCTTCCTGTGAACTAGAGCACAACCTGCCTAGGACCCATCCTTGGTCACACAGATGAGAACAACTTGCTCTGGGATGGCAGAGGAGTAAAATGTAAGGTACATGGTCCTTGAATGATCTCCTGGAACTGCTGTATCAACCTGCACCACCAACTCAGGACTTAATTTAAGCGAGAAATAAAAGTCTGTGTTCTGTAAATCACTGTATTGTTGGATCTTTGTTAGCCTTTCCATTGAATAATATGTGCATATGTTATATCATACTGGAGTAATTGATTGCTATGAGGAAAATACTAATTAAGTTATATGAACTAAAAAACATTTTTCTGTTTGAAAGCAATCTCCTTTGGCTAACATTTTTGGAGATGATGTTTCAGTAACAAAATTGGCACATGTAACTAGATTTTTTTGACATTTTTAATTAACTGAATTTGGATCTATAGGGAAAAAGTAAAAATATATTTCAAGATGTTGATGATATCCAACAGTTACAAAATACATTTTAAGTAATCACTGTGGTTACTATATGTCCTCAACATTTTGCAACACAGGAAGAGAACATTATTAATGAAAACATTTTGAATGGAATAAAATGAAAGATACTAATAATATTGCGAGTATTTGTTTGAAACTTCAAACATTTCCAAAAGAGAAATTTGAAATATCAAGGAAAAGCATTTAGATAAAAGATCCATTTGGTTTTTAAAATCCCAGATGCATATTTGAGTTAAAGTTGATGCCCAAAGAAGGAAACTAATTACTAATACTTTGTTATTCAAATATCTTGAAGAATGATTATAAGTTTATCACCATTTTAGATTAAGATTAAAGAAGACTTCACTGAAATTTGCAATTTCTATCGCTAAGTAGAGTATACTGTTATTAATAGCATCCACACCACTTATTTGTGTGTGAACCAGAGTTTTTAACCAACATAACTAAAAACAGTGGAAAGAAATAGACATCAAAGCACAAAGCACCTGTGTCACACATGTAGCATTGTGTTCATGTCTCCAACCTGGATTGAATTTCCAAATGGGTAAGTGTGCCTGCAACAATGCATAAAAATCATATTTAATAGTAATTCTATTTTATTTAACAGTAAGTATTTTTCTAGAAATAAAATTTTTGTTTCAGTTTTTTTTTGTTATTTTTTTTTCTTTTCTGTGGTACGCAGGCCTCTCACTGCTGTGGCCTCTCCCGTCACAGAGCACAGGCTCCGGGCGCAGGCCCAGCGGCCATGGCTCACGGGCCCAGCCACTCCACTGCATGTGGGATCCTCCTGGACCGGGGCACGAACCCATGTCCCCTGCATCAGCAGGCGGACTCCCAACCACTGCGCCACCAGGGAAGCCCTGTTTCAGTTTTTTAATCTAGCTATACATGTACCTATGTGTATACTGGGTGGACTCAGGACATTTTTTGCTGTGAGTTGACATTTTTTTAAAACAAAGGTCTTTTAACTATTCTACTCTTACTTTCCTTCACAGCCAATTATCTTGATTGGGTTATTTAGACATGTGTTTCTACCTGCTCTTAATCCACTGCAACCAGATTCTGCCCTCATTATTCTTCTGGGGCAGGCTTCCTGACTAAACTCTCACATCCATTTAATCCTTTTTTGTGTCTATCTTTGTCCTCTCTGTGGCCATTGACCTTGTTGCCCGGATACTACTTTTATTTCATTTTCCCACCACTTAAAAAAATAATTTGCAATCATAAAAGTAAAAATGTTCAAGGAAAAAGTAAACTCACCTATAACCCCATCAGAGATAAGCACTGTTAATAGTTTATGTTTATTTTCCATTTATATATATGTACATATTTTAAAACATATGTACATCCATATCAAATATTTAAATAATAAAATGGGGCTCATTTAGTGCAAAGAAGTACATAGCATTTTACAACCTTCTATTTCATTTAACTATACAGTAGAAACTGCTTTTCATGTCATTCAATATTCCTCTCCTGCATTAATCTTATAGGCTATATATATACTTTGCTGCTTTATGGATACATACATCATAAATTATTCATCCATTTCTCTGTTGCTGGACATTTAGATAGTTTTCAATTTTTAAAGATAACTGAATGACACACTGAAATCCTTGTGGAAAAAAACCAAAACAAAACCTTTATCCACTTCCATAATCACTTGCTTAAGATGAATTTCTAAAAGTGGGATTTCTGGGTTGGAGCCATACCTCTGCAATAAACACATTCAGAATCCCTCCAGGAATGGTTACCAAGTTATCCTTCCACCAGCACCCATAACATGAGAGGACCTAATTGGCCAGCTCCTTACTAACACCAGGCAATAGTATTTTAAACCTCTTAGCCAATTTTATTAAAAAGAAAATCACCTTTTATTGAAAGATTTTGTGCCCTTTTGATTAGTAGTTGCTTGAACACTTTTCATAGGTTGTGTCATTTGTATTTATTCCTCTGTGAAATGACTTCATAATATTGCCTATTGTTTTAAAGTGTGCATCTGTTTTTTTTTTAATACTTTGTAAAAGCTTTTTTACAAAGCTATTGAATCATTTTATCTCTGAAATATTATTTTTCTGGTGTATAGCTTAAGTGAATTTGTTTTTAATTATAAAGATAATAATCTTAAAAAGAGTAAAAAACATAACTACACATAAAATTAAAAGGTGAGTTACTCTCTTTTCAATCTGCTCCTCAGAATGTCATTTGCTTTTCATTTTTTGTATGGAACTTTTGACATAAAGCTTCTACATATTGAAATAGTCAAATCTGTTTGCCTTTCAGTTTCTTCCTTAGCTGGTTTATTAGAAATAATCTTAATGCATTAAGATAAGTATATTCACTTACATTTTCTTCTAAACCTTCTATGGTTCAGTTCTTAAATTTAACTCTTTAACATATTAACGCATTTGTAATTTATTTCTCTATATGGTATAAAGTTGTGATCTCTCTCTCTATGTATATTTCCAAATAGTTAACAATGTAGTCTAACATAATTATATTATCGACTACAGTGTTTTTGAACTTTTTTTTTTAAGCACTGGAAACACTTCTTCAAATGATGGTTTCATAAGGTGTGTGGATGTGAGGAGAAGGGTCCCTAGGGGGCTAGACTTTGCAAGTTTTGCCTCCTCACTACCAAGAGGGCTTAAGCAGCAGTCTGAACACGCCCCATCTGTTGGACACCCTCCTGCGACACTCCCTTTCCTGGCTGCCCTCCTTCCCGCACTGCGGGTTTCTAACTGCTCCTTCTCAGCCTCCTCTGAGGGCACTTGCTCCTCTGACCATCATTTGAGGGTAAGAGGCCCCCAATTTCCTCTCTGGCCTCCTGCTCTTCCCATTTGATCCACTGCCTCCCAGCAACCTTTGCCAAATCCTAGGCATCAACAATTTTCAATACTTGATGGTTTCAAATCCTCATTTCTATCTCGGAGCCCTGTCCTGAGTTCCTGCCCATAAACAAAACACCTTATGGTATCTCATTACCATTTCAACATAAACGTGTCCAAAACTGAACTCATATACCCTGTGGATTCCAAACCCTTCTCTTCCTCTCTTCTTTAACTTGGAGGATGGGGCCACCATCCTCCCATTTTCCCAAACAAAAAACCTGGAAGTTATCCCATATGTTACTACCTCGATCAGTCAGTAAATCCTACTGCTTCGACACCTTAAATATCTCTTGCTATATTTTCCTCTGTTCCTTTCCATCTATCATCGGCTTAACTTATTTCTAGATTACTGCAGAATCTTCTTACTCCTTTCCCAGCTGCCAGTCTACTCCTCTGAAATGTAACTTCCTCACTACCACCACAGTTACATTTCTAAAGAACAACGAAAATGCTTAAAATCCTTTCTTAGTTCCCAACCGCAGCTTGCACAACAGGAAAAAAAATGAGACTCCAAATAAGACTCCTGCTTTCCTCTCCTTTCTTCCTGCAGCAACCATCCTAGGGCTCCCATCGCTAAACCCGACTTGAAGTTCTTGAAACACAGGTGCTCTCCCAAGAGTAGAGGTCCTGCCTCACACTGCCTTCCCCATCCGGCCCCCCACGTCCGCGTCCGCCTCCCAAGTTCGGCCTGAAGGTTCTTCATTGCTGAAGCTTTCTCTGTCCATCTCTCCCACCCCTAACCAAGTCACGTAGCCCTTGTGCGCCACTCCCCCGCCCGCCCCCGCCTTTATTTTTCTTCAGAGGAAAACAATTCAGGTCAACAGAGGAATGGAAAGGGAATAAAGAGAGATTTTTAAAAGGGGTTTTGGATGCAAGAGTGTGTTTCGAGTCCAAATCCTGTTGCTTTGGGAAGTACCTTAACCTGTGTATAATGAGGATGTTCATCACACACACACACACACACACACACACACACACACGTGTGAGATGGTGTGGAATACGTGGTTGGGCAGAATCACAGTCTATTCACAGGTAGCGCCCGAGCCTGGCACAGAGGGTGGCCCAGAAGAGCTGCTCATCACTAACGAGGGAGCAGCGCCTGGACGGCGGGACGCAGAGGGCGCCACGCCACCCGGCGCTGGGAGCTCAGCGAGCCGGCGCCGGGCCGCCCCAACTCCGCCCGCTCCAGATGGGGGTGTGGCGGGAGCAGCGACGAGGCCCCTCCCCGCCCGCTGCCGGCCGCAGCCAGACGCTCCCTCGGGCCGAGCCCGGCCAACGCCCAGCCTGCGAGCCAGCCCAGGACGTCCACCTCCACCTCTCCGCGAGCCTCCGTGCCTCCGGGACCGCCTCGGGGGCCGGGGCCGAGTCGCGGCCTCCGATCCCCAGCCCGCCGTCGCCGTGGCTGTCGCGGCGCGCTGGGCGCACCTGACCCGGCGGGCGGGGCGGCGGGCGGGGCTCCGGGCCTGACGTGGCCGCTGCATGGAGCGGGCGTGATTCATCAGCCGCCGCGCGGGGTCGGAGTGGGGCGAGCGCAGCGGCAGCCTAGGCGCCCAGGGCCGGGTTGCGGTGGCGGCGGCGGCGGCGGCGGCGTCCCCGCCGGGCCTCGCGTGCGTTCCCCTTGCTGTCTGCGGCCGGCCCCCGGCGAAGGTCAAGATGGAAGAGATCCTAAGGAAGCTGCAGAAGGAAGCGTCCGGGAGCAAGTACAAAGCCATCAAAGAGACCTGCACCTGGGCCCTTGGTAAGCGCGCCGAGCGGGACGCGGGGCGTAGGGCACCTGCCGGTGGGTCCTGCTCGCCGCCGCCGGAGGGTCGCGCGGGCTGGCTGCAATGGCCCCTCTGCGTGGGGGGCTTTCGCTGAGCATCTGTGATCGAAGCATTTCGCGCAATTGCGAGAGTTGCCTCGGTAAACTGATGTGTGATACGCGAATTTGGGTTCGGGCGTTGACATCCATCCGCCTTCCCTCTGGTCTCTTTATCATCTTCCAAACCTTAACGGGGAAACGCCGTCCTCCCCTCTGGGCGGCCCCTTTCTTCAGATCCCCAGCACGGCGGACGGTGGTCACCCATCTCCGAGTCAGGACCGCAAGACGGTGGGAATCCAGGGGCCTGATTCCGAAGCGCTTGTGGGCAAGAGGGAAGTTGAACCATCAACCCCGATCTCAAAACCTTGGCGAGTGTAACCGGGAAGGAATAGCTTGTTTAATTTGATTCTCCTGATAGAGGCCAGCTTGTTAAGTATTAGCTTTCATGGTTATTCTACATGAAGAATAACGTACGGGTGGGATGGTGTTACCTCTGCAATTCTGTTGTTGTCTGCCCTTCAGACAGGTGGGATTTTAGATTTGTGAGCTGTGCAAGCATTGAAAGAAGTTCCAGGTAGCAAATTTGTGTTTCCCATCAGACTCAGGTTGTAGAACTCAACCTCGGAGAAAATTGAATGACATTCCAATTAGGCAAGAACGTGGGCAATCAAAATTGTCTGGGTGGGAATGCAGAGAGATCAGGAGCATGCTCAGGTGACAGTGATGCTTAAGGAGAAAAAAAAAAGGAAAGGCGAAGGAGAAACCAGGGCAGCTCTCTTGGCCTCTGGCCTTGCCCAAAGCCTGCATGTGATCCCTCAGTTGCCACTTAATTAAAACATAAAATTGAATCCCTTTCTCTCTCAACCAAAGAGCCATCAGTGCTTGTCACGACACTGTACTGTGGTACAGCCTGAAAAGAGATAGAGAAGGGCTATTAGCAGGTTTTCCACTAAATGGAGAATTCTGATGGTGCTTTAGCTGGTGACTCGGTTAATATTTAGGTCTGAATTCACATATGTTTGAGTGTGTGTGTACAAACAATCACAGCCACATCATTTTTTTTTTTTTATGTCTGCCTATCATCACAAAATTTCCTAGAATGTTGTCTAGGAAGTTTATCTCATAGGCAGAATCAGAACTTGACCATTTGTTTACTGTTAGAGGAAAAAAAAAATGGACCAGGTACATAAGTGAGAAGCAAGGCTCTTAAAGCCACAGTACTATTTTTGCATTGCCATTGTCATTCAGCAGAGTGATCAGGGTAGATTCTCAAATACCTCTAATGAAGGGTCACAGATGGCTGGGTAACATAATAAAGCAGGGCTGACTGCACTCTAAACCTGCTATTCCTTGTACTCGTTATTATTTTGCTGTAAGTTAAGCAGATTTAGATAACAGGGAGGAGGAGAGGAATCTAGTATTTTTAATTTTAATGTCGATACTCAACATCTTGTTAAGTTAAAGTGCAGTGTTGCCTAGTTTAGGTCCTTGAAGTGACCGGGAAGCCCAGAGCTGAGGCAGGTAGATGATCTGAGCAGAGCCTGGAGTCCAGCCTGTCTGGAAGAGTAGATGTGATTCTTTTCCCAGTGGCTGTTCTTAGTAAGCAAGAAGAGATGGGAGCTCATGAAACAGTTAAATAACAGTGCGGGGAATTCATTGTGCAGGTTGGAATGAGTAAACCAGGAAAAGAGATCAAAGAAGAGGGGATGAATGTGGGGTCAGGGGTGTGCTGGGGGGATTGGTGTGAGCTGGTGGGGCTTTTGAAGTAAATTGGACTTGGAGAATGGGTAAGCTGTGGGTTTCTTCTCTTCTTCACTTATGTAGCAAAGGTTTATTAAGACCTCCTCTGTACTGAGCAGTGGGGATAGAAAGATGAATAAAATGCTCTCTCCCTATAATTAGTTTGTTAGAAGGGTATGTTGGAGGGAGAATGAGGCAGAAACAGACATGAAGGTATGGTTTCCTGTTCTCTTTCCCACTCCAGTCCATTTTCCACTGTTCCATCTTTTTTTTTTTGCTATAAAGTGCTTTTCACTCCTCAACCCCCATACTTTTTTTTTTTAGAGTAAAGTGTGAATTCCTTAGAATGCTTTTTGGAATCTAGCCCCAGCCTTCTTTCCCATCGCCCCCATAGCAAGGGTTCGTCGGTCCCCAGTAAGCCACGTACTTTCTTGTACATGCCATGTGCTGCCCACTTCTCTGCCTGGGCTTCTGCTAATCCTTCTGCCACAGCTTCCCTTTCCAGAATCCCAAGGCCCAGCTCACATACGAAGGCTCCCCTGAGCTCTGCAGTCAAATCACTTGCTCCTCTGGGCTCTGAGCCCTGCTCTCAGGACCCTCTTATAGCACCTGCTGCTGGGGATTATAGGTGGTTATGCACAAAGCTACTCTTTTAGGGGCAGAATGATTGAGAAATATACTGGATTCAGGAGACCAAAAAAGCTGATTCAAGCAGACTTAAGGAAAATAGCATGTATTCAGTACGAACTAAATACCCCTTGAAGGCTAGCTGTGGGTTGAGTTTGGTTCAGGAATTAGATACTGTTTCAAGGACCTCGCTCTGCTCTTTTGGGATGATGAACATTCTCAGCATGAGTCTCCACAGCTTTGGGTTCATGAATCAGCACACTTAGACCATCTCAGGAGAGACGGATCGTCTCTGACTTAGACCATCATGGGAGAGACGGGTCATCTTACACTTGGGGCCATTATAGGGAAGAGGGGTCACCATGACATTTAGACCATCCCAGGAAAGAGTCATCTCTTATCAAAAGTACCATTGGAGAGAGGGGTCATCCTCACACTTATTCCATCTCAGAAGAGCTCATCTCCCACTATTATAGGAGAAAGACATTTAGACCATCACAGGAGAGAGGAGTCATCTCCCATTAAAACTGTCATAGAAGAGAGAGAGCGAGCATCTCCACGTTTAGGCCTTTACAGGAGAAAGGGGTCGTTTCCCACTTGGCCTATCATGGGATCATCTCAAGAGAGTGGGGCTCTTCCAGTCACTCCCACCCAGCCCTTGGTGTCACAGTTCTCTCTTTGTCCTGATGGGTTGAGTATGTATCCCTGAACCAGTCCTCTGGGCTAGCTGGCTACAAGGCCCAGTGAAATCCCAGAGTCAGGGAAGGATGGCTTCCTCAAAACAAAATTAGGGTTTGCTGCATCAGAGACAGCGGAGTGGATGCCAGTCAACGAAAGCAACAAATGTCTACAGTGTAGACGTGAGCTTCTTGAGCACAGGGACTGTATGCTTGTCTGTGGCTTCTGCACCTACAATATGAGAGGCACATGTTCGGCACATAAATAAATCAACGTGTTAATGTCTTATTTGGGTTTTAAGTGATATTTGTCTTGTTTTCTAGTTACATATGCTCATTTTAGAATATTGAAAAATATTCGAACACTATAAAGAAAAAATTAAAATCACCCATAATGTCACCACCCAGAGAAAACACTCATCACATTTCGGAGTATTTCCCTTCTGCAAAGGGTTCTACGTATATGGCGGATTGTTACTTGTTTTTCAACTTCAGCTTTTCTTCTACTTTATTATTAATATGTCTCTGAAAATCAGTTTTCTTAATGGCCACATAATAACGGGCAAGGAACATGTATGTACGTTTTCTCTATTTTAAGCTATCTAGGTTAGATACTTTTGTCAGTGAGGAAATGGTCTGACTAAGGAATAGAAAAGAACAAGGGACTGGGTCAGCGTGTGGAGAGCCTGAAAGAATAGCATTCTCCTTCAAGCACTGGCAATCCTGGAGGCTTGGGAGCTGGGAATGGCAGGATGAAATAGAATGACAGAACATTAGAACTGGACCATGTCCCTTTTAGAAACTTTAGTTGTTTGCATATATCAGGGAGCTCCTGTAGAATGGATTTGGAAAATGGAGAAGAGAAAGAAAATTAGAGGCCTGAATACCAAGTAAGAGAAGAAGGATGGTCTATCTAACCACCATCCTTCCGTCTATCTCTCCACCCGCTTTTCCTTCCAGCCACAGCATCTGTTACCTTCACAGCTAACCTTCTTAAAAAGTCAATGTAACTAAACATACTGTATAGCACAGGGAGCTCTACTTAATGCACTGTGGTGACCTAAATGGGAAGGAAATCCAAAACAGAGGGGACATACGTACATGTATAGCTGATTCATTTTGCTGTACAGTAGAAACTAACACAACATTGTAAAGCAACTATACTCCAATAAAAATTAATAATAAAAAAAAGGGAATGTAGTGATTGTGTCCACATTCTCACTTCCTGCTTACTTTTCAACTCACTGCGATCTGACTTCCTCCTCTGTTCTTCCACCGACTGAAGAATAAGGTACCCAGACCTCAGTCTAGCAGACCATTCTCACACCCCTCTTACCAGTCCTCTCAGCCACACTGGGCCCCCACTTGACCTTGGCCTCATGCCCGCACCCCGTCTGTTTCGATCCGACCTCTTGAGCTGCTCCGTCCCCTTTGCAGCTCCTCCCCAGCCTAAAAGTTTGCGTTTCACAAGAATGAGCTCTGGTCTCTGACTCGCAGCCCGACTGGAGTTGAACACTTTGAGAGCCACAGCTTCAGTTTCAGAGAATGCGATGCCCACATTTACATCCCTCACCTGTGCTCTGACATGCCACCCCCGATGCAGCTTCCTACCCGGCGTCCCTTCTGGAACAGGATGGGTTTGTTATGGCTGCTCTGTGACTGCCTTTCTCTTTTCCCTTTCCTCTAGCTCTCTGTTAGCACTTGTAGAGTTGGGCACTGTTGCACATCCTGAGTTGAATATAAACCCTTCTGTGTGATGAGGAAAACCACAGCGATTTGGTTGTTCAGCGTCACACCCTCTTCTTGGGAAGCAGCATCAAGTTGTCCTGGGCACTGGCTTTTCCCTGTTGACTGCTAGCCTGGACTCACCCATGAGGTGCAGACTCACTACCTCTATCTGCATCTCAGGCTTTTGTTTTCTCATTATCCTGTCTCATCTTAAGAACTGACTTCAGTCCTTCTAGTTCCTCCCTTGGCCTTGTGACCACAGCATCACCGACCCTGCTGATCCATCTTTCTATTTTGCTATCTGTCTGGCTTACACCCACTGTTTTGCCCCATGGACCACAGCGGGCCCAGATGCTATCATCATGTTTTGGCCTGTTCTCAGTCCTGAGTCTCAGGGATACATTTGGTGTCCACTGTTCCCTCTGATCTGGTAGCAGGGTGGGGAGAGATGTTTCTCCTTCCCCAATAAAAATAGTTCAGATTGACAGGGCTTGTTGACTCTAAACAGTGAAGAGAGAAGGCAAGAGTTTGAACAGAAAAACTGGAGACCGGTTGGAGTGTGTGATTTATAATAAGAAATATATATATTTGGTCTTGGTCCCTGTTTCTGGCTCAGAGCTCCTAAAACCCTTGGAATTTCCCAAGTGAAGAGCGCTATAGAGTCATTTGTTAGGTTAATGAAGTGATTGTTGGACCACACAGACGGCTGGCTGCCAGGAAAACCGTCCTTTTCAGTCCCACCCCCCTGACCTCCACAGAGGGGAGAGGGGCTGAAGATTGAGTTCAAACACCAGTGGCCAATCAATCATGCCTATGTAATGAAGCCTCTGTAAAACCCCCCAAGGATGGGGTTTGGAGCACTTCCCGGCCAATGAACACAGGGACATTTGGCGAGAGTGGTACACCGAGAGAGCAAGGACTCTCTCTGCCCTTTCTCCACACCTTGCCTCATGCATCTCTAGCATCTGGCTGTTCCTGAGTTATATCCTGTAACATACCAGTAATCTACTAGGTGAGAGTTCCTCTGAGTTCTGTGAGCCATTCTAGCAAATTAGTTAAACCCAAGGAGGGGGTTGTTGGAAACTTTAATTTCTAGCCAGTCGGTCAGAAGCCCAGGTGACAACCGGACTTGAGATTGGCATCTGAAGGTGGGGTGCGGGGGGTGCTACAGGCTTGTAGGATTGAGCCCAAATCTGTGGGATCTGACGCTCTCTCCAGTTCGTGTCAGAGTTGAGTTAAATTGGAGGACACCCAGCTGCTGTCAGGGAATTGCTTGTTGGTGTGGGAAAACCATCCCCCCCAACCCTGATGCGCGCGGGCGCACACACACGCGCACACACATTGGAATTGGGTGCAGCATTGTTAGAGCTATTGAAATAGAACAGTTTTTATTTTTGAAGAGAATAGTGAATGTTTCATTATCTCAACAACTGGAGGCAGCAAGAGGGTGAATAATCCACAACAATGGTAAAGTACTGAACATCCAGGTCAGAGTCATGAGACTTGGGGGATGAGCCTCCCAGTCAGTATCCCTAACTATAGTATGATTTTGAAAAAGTTTCATCTGCCATGTCCTAAATGTGTGTGAGATGAGCTGTTGCATAAAGTGCTTTGTGAACTTGAAAGTCTCTCACAAGTATAAGTTATTATTTAAGGGTATTAAAACGGTATTTTCAAGGAAATAGCTTTTCTTTCTCTATTGTTATTGCAAGAATACAACATTTTTAGCCAGGTGCAACTAGATTAAATTGGCACTCTGTTTCAGGTTAGGAATTTAACTATTTATTCTGTCTCTAAGCGAAATGCGTCCTAATCTTTAAGCTCTGAGAGGAAGTCTTGTGGGCTATAGCAAAGGAAAAGGATTTTTAAGTATGGATGATTTGCGTGCAGATAATTGAGAATTGACTATTTATAATTATAGGAATTTCCAGGGGGAAAAAAGAAACTAACGGTGAAATTTGTATACAATCTAAATTCTCAGTCTTTACATATTTATTTTTAACTTTGTAATTTTCCCTTTGCAGAAACCCTGGATAGCGTGGATACCATTGTCAAGATCCCTCCACACTTGCTGAGGTAAGGAGACTGGAGTTGTATAATATAGTGGAAGTAAAAATTGCCCGCTGTGCTCTCCTGAAGGGCCAGAAAACCTCACTGGTTTATAGCATTTTACTTGCTGACTGGTGGCTTTTTTGCCTCAGTGAACTGGGATATTTCATGAGGTTAGCATGATGGGAAGCTGACTGCACTGATTTCTACCTGTCTTGGAGTGAATAAAGTCAGTAATCCAAAGGAACCAGCTGTAGAAGTCAGGGATGAAAGGATAAAATTGGTCAAGGAGAGAAATGACCAAAATCTAAGTGAGTGGATGTGGACAGTGGACAGAATCTTCCACTGTGAGTTGGGAAACGGCGCCCCCTTAGTGGGAGAGCAGCCCTGCACCATGTGGGTTGGATTTAAGCTCTCACTGGCCCCTTGGTTGGACACCATCTCGCAAACTCTATAGGCATCAGCAGCAGCCCTGAGACAGTGAATCTATTTCCCCAATTCCTCAACTTCCCACTCCCCACCCCACTCCACCATCGTGAGAGAAATACATGCTTTTTGTGGAAATTGGGAAAGAGCAAATAAGAAGGTTACCCATAATTACATCACCTAAGGATAACCACTGAACATGGCTTAATAGATTTTCTTAATAGACTTTCCTCCCAGCACACATACAAATTAATATGAAGTTTTATTTACAAGTTTGTTTCCTGCTTGTTTTTTCGGTCAGCACCATATGAAGAACATTTTCTAATGTCAACATATGTTCTTCAAATTAAAATATCGCATATATGTCCATTGTATGGCTGCTGCAACATAAATTATTTCGCAGTTTTCTTATTGTTAGACATTTGGATCGTTTCCAGATTTTTCTTTGAGATTATTAAAAACAATCTTTTGTTGCGTATAGTTTCTATATTGTCAGGACACTGATCTATTAGGTATTTTCTCTCTTTTCAAGTAGATTGAACGAGAGTTATGTTTCTGTCTTTTTTAAAAATATATTACTTCTGTAGTGTCTGCTACAGGCTGATATATTGTAAGGTAATTCATATGTTAATCAAACCAAGTGTACTTTTGTGGATATAAAGCTTCTACATGGGTAGAATGTCTGGCAGCAACATTCTTGCCTGGAGGAGGTATATTCCAGCTGGGGTATCCATGTGAAAACACTCCAAGAGATACTAAGGCGTGGATGGTTTAAAGGAGACGATTTCCCAATTTCTATAGGTACCCTGTCTTAAAATTATTTGCTTCAGAACTGATTTTGCCACGTCTCCTTTTCCATTTCACTTCTTAACCTTCTCCTGACAAAGGACAGCTGTTACCCATCCCATCCGGAATCTGACTGTGGTGTGTTTTCCTGGGGTGCAAAACCCTCTTCCTACCAACAAAGGACTATGAAAATATTAGTGTCTGTGTTGATAAAGGGGATGAATACAGTGATCAGGGCACGCATCTTTTTGCAGGTTAGTTTTTACTTCTTGGCTTTCAACAAAATTGAAGGAGGAGCTAATCTAGTTATGAGATAATAGACAAAAAGATTTTTTGATGATAAATCTCCTTCATTCCTTTCTTATATAAAAAATCGTTTCTTATTGCTTATGTCTTTAAACCTGGGAAAAAAAGGTATGGAATTGATGTTAAACCCCACCTTATTTTAGCAATAGAGAATATTCATCTATAGATATATGAACTAGTTGAGCAAAATAAACAAGCCCTGTCCATTTCTTTAGAAATACATTTCCAATAAAATTGTAATTTCCATGTTAACTATATTAACATTCTTATAATTAATGTTGTTTGGATCAATCATTTGCATCAGAAGAAAATGGAACACTTTTAAGCCTTATAGCCACAGGAAATTTTTAAAACTCACTTTATACACATTTTTGTGACAAAAGAACAATACAGCCTTTTTTACTCTAAAAGAAGAGTTTGTTCATGTATTTTTTGATGGACGAAGGTGGTTTTCAAATTGGTGTGGTATTTGGATTTCATTAGATACCTTGAAATGAGTGATACGTTTTAATTAGAATTTTACTAATTCCAATATGCCAGAATTACAGCCTTTGCCGTTAATTAAAATTATGGTTGAGAAATTTAAATGTCAAAATGTGTGAAAAGTGGAATTTTAAAATTTTCTTAGTGGCTGTATGAGTGAAAACATTTGATGATACTGCTCTAAAGGTTGTTTCTCTATCCAAAGTGTTGTTGAAGCTACAGTGAGACTTTCTATGGTTTTGGGTCTCTGATAAGGTTTGCCTTCAGCGTTAGGGGCAAGAAGGTGATGATGATACCAGAAGAGGCTCCTGGTACAGTGCCTGGGAATGTTCATCAAAAGACAACTGACATTTTCCAACTCTAGGTGTGTGTGTGACCAAATGAGTTGGAGAAAGTACAGTGTTAATGGGCCGTGTTTGATCCCCTTTAGCCACTGAGTGTTGCTTTTGTCCATGGTCTTGAGCTTTACCCCAGAGCCAGCTGGCCATCTTGTTCAACCATAGGAGGTAATGACAAAATTGGTGGGAAAGTTGCTGGATGAGGAACCGTGGATGAATATGAATATATATGTGTGTGTGTGTGTGTGTGTGTGTGTTTACATATCTTCACCATTATTAGAAATATGATTCAGAGTATTTGTCCGAATGATAAAAAGCTGGTGATGTCATCCTGTATACGGAGGAATGTGCGTCATTGTATTCCAGATGTGCGACAAAGTGCGTCAGGCATTCTTGTACAGAGAACTGAATGTATGGATGAGACATAGCAGATTTAAGCCTTGCACTCAGTTTTATGTTCCGAGGGAGGAGAATGAAGACAAATGTAGCTGGAAAACACTGTTAAGAGGCACCAAGTATAAATTTATTGTAGAATTTTATGCATATCAGAAGGTTTCAGCCTGACTGTGATTTGTAATAGTTGGGAGCCCTTCAAAGCCTTTTTTAGGGTATAGGAATAAGCCATAATTAGAACAAAAACGAGCTATTGAATCAAGTCTGATTGTCTACTTCATTTGATATCAGGGAAGTGATATAATGAGAACCTACACCATAGTGGACTTTCCCCCTCTGTTGTGAATCAGTTTTCCTTTAATCCTTTGATTCATCTTCCAGGCATTTTTTTTTTTTTTTGCGGTACGCGGGCCTCTCACTGTTGTGGCCTCTCCCGTTGCGGAGCACAGGCTCCGGACGCGCAGGCTCAGCGGCCATGGCTCACGGGCCCAGCCGCTCCGCGGCATGTGGGATCTTCCCGGACCGGGGCACGAACCCGTGTCCCCTGCATTGGCAGGCGGACTCTCAACCACTGCGCCACCAGGGAAGCCTTCTTCCAGGCATTTTTAAGCCCACAGGGCACTTACTGTGTCCATTATTAACATGGCATCTTTCTATTGTTTGAGCACAATAAATCTAAAAAAAATTTTAAATGTAGGCACTGTAAATATTTGCTTATAAGAAAGAACTTGGATATGTTAAATTTTTTTTCTTCAGTTATGTTTCTATTTTAGTGAGTTTTTTCTTCAATGATATTTAGTATACGAGAAAGAAGCCAGGTTCATAAACTATTTCTTGGCATTCTGATTTCATATTCAGATTGTTTCCATTTCTGTTACATAATCACGTAGAAGTGATTATTTGCAGATTTTTTTGTTGTTTCAGGTTTTGGAAAGAGCTATGAGGACTAAATCAAATCCCAAATACTTTTTAAAAATTAAAAAAAAATTTTTTTTAGTGGGAGGGAGGGAGATACAAGAGGAAAGAGATATGGGGATATATGTATATGTATAGCTGATTCACTTCGTTATAAAGCAGAAACTAACACACCATTGTAAAGCAATTATACTCCAATAAAGATGTTAAAAAAAATTTTTAATTGATTTTTATTGGAGTATAGTTGATTCACAATGATGTGTTAGTTTCTGCTGTACAGCAAAGTGAATCAGTTATACATATACATATATCCACTCTTTTTTAGATTCTTTTCCATATAGTTTATTACAGAGTATTGAGTAGAGTTCCCTGTGCTATACAGTCGGTTCTTATTAGTTATCTGTTTTATATACAGTAGTGTATATATGTCGGTCCCAATCTCCCAATTTATCCTTCTCTTCCCCCTTTCCCCCTTAGTAACCATAAGTTTGTTCTCTATATCTGTGACTCTGTTTCCGTTTTGTAAACAAGTTCATTTATACCCTTTTTTTAGACTCCATAAGCAATATCATATGATATTTGTCTTTCTCTGTCTGGCTTAACTTCATTGAATATGCCAATCTCTAGGTCCATCCATGTCGCTGCAAATGGCGTTGTTTTGTTCTTTTTTATGGCTGAATAATATTCCATAGTATATACGTACCACATCTTCCTTATCCATTCATCTGTTGATGTACATTTAGGTTGCTTCCATGTCCTGGCTACTGTAAATAGTGCTGCAATGAACATTGGGGTACAAGTATAATATCTTTTTGAATTATGTTTTTCTCCAGGTATATGCCCAGGAATGGGATTACAGGATCATATGGTAGCTCTATTTTTAGTTTTTTAAGGAACCTCCATACTGTTCTCCATAGTGGCTGTACCAATTTACATTCCCACCAACAGTGTAGGAGGGTCTCCTTTCTCCACACCCTCTCCAGAGTTTACTATTTGTAGATTTTTTGATGATGGCCATTCTGACCGGTGTGAGGTGATGATACCTCATTATAGTTTTGATTTGCATTTTTCTAATAATTAGTGATGTTGAGCATCTTTTCATGTGTCTCTGGCCATCTGTGTGTCTTCTTTGGAGAAATGTCTGTTTAGATCTTCTACCCATTTTCTGATTGGGTTGTCTTTTTTTTTTTTTTGATATTGAGCTGCATGAGCTGTTTGCATATTTTGGAAATTAATCCCTTGTCGGTTGCTTTGTTTGCAAATATTTTCTCCCATTCTGGCTTTTCTTTTCGTTTTGTTTATGGTTTCCTTTGCTGTGCGTCAAATACTTTTGCTGTGCTGATTTTCTTATTTTTTCTTTTGCCATTAATTGACTGCTTT